ACATCCAGTTTGCTCTGTTGTCTTTCTTCATGTTTGGCATGTGTTTTTTTCCTCCACATTCATCCTTAACAATTTCTTTAAATTTATTCCATAATTCCTCTGGTTCTTTTATCAGTGAGTTTCAGGGCTGCTGAGGAGTTCTTGAAAAAAATGTGGATATACATTCATGATTATATTGTGGAAACTGGCTTTCTTTCTCTCCTTTAGCTTAACTTGAAACTTGCACATGAGCAATTTGTGATGTGTTCTACAATCAGCACCTGGGCATTTCTTTGGTACGATAATTGAACTCAAGTGTCCAATTCCAGTCTCCAATCACAATGAGTACATCTTGCTTGCATGGTCTGTCAAGTTCAAATTGAACTAGATCATAACATTCATCAACCTCCTCTACTTCTGCTTCAATAGTTTGAACATAGACTACTACTGTTGTTATATTTTTCCTAATTATAAAAGCAACACTGTTCCTGTTTTGTTTTTCACATCCTGAGTAATAAACGAAGTGATCTTCTCACTGAAACTGAACAATCCAAGACTGTCTCAATTTGTTAATGTTTAAGATGTCAATTTGTAGTCATTTTATTTTATCTTCCCCTGTATTGAATTTTCCCATATCTGTGTTTCTTACATTTCATGTTCTGTTATTCTGTCTTTATTGTTTCTGATTTTATTTTCCTGATTGACAACATCAGAAACCTGAAAGCTTTAATCTAGCCATGTCATAAACACCATTTGTATTCTGAAAGATCCTCAGCTCTTCAGTAGCATGTTGAGGGCCATCCAACCTGAGAGGTCCATTATCCAGCACCACTCAACCATTTTATATTTTCTGCCCATGTGGTTTCTTATTAAAAATACAGGAATGGTTTACACTTGCTTCCCCCCACACAGTATGAATCAATTGTTTTGCCATTGTTACTAAAGTAAATATCTGCCTGCAACATATTCCTATTTGGCTGCTGCCCAATGTAGGTGTCTATTTGTTTTGACCAGGCAGCTGGGATGACTTCACTCCTTGGGTGACTCTGCTTGGGGATATATATTCTTGGCATTCACTTATGATGTTCTTTGTTCATACCTCCCAAGAGCACCTCCTCCCTATCATCATAAAGCAGCACAGCTGGATTGGTGGCATAAAAAGCACCAAAAGGTTAATGAAAATCAAGATTTTGAACTCTTGTTCTTTTCTCAGCAGGCATTGTTCACAGGGTAATAATTTGGACTCAGTTTTACTTCAAAAACTTTTAGAGCTAAACTGTAGCTATCATTCCAAATCTTTTTTTCCATAAATAAGATTATTTTTTTCAGATTCATTAAAAAATTAAATTATAAACAAATAAGCCATATTTGACAAAAGCAAAATGATTTTATTGCTAAGTGTACAGATCTTTTATGTCTATATCTTCTGGTAAAAGACTATGGAACTTAAGGTATCTTGGATATTTTGGTTTTAATTTCTTTAAGATTATTTTATCTATATTTTAGCACTTGCATTTATTGTTTATTCCTGGGCATATTTTCTTAGGAATGAAATATCTACATACAGTGCATTCAGAGGATATTCAGACCCCTTTCATTTTTTGTCAATTTTGCTGTGCTGCAGTCTGATTGTAAGTTGTTGAAATTCATTTTTCCCCTCAATTATCTATCTCATAATTACAAAATGAAAATAGAATTTTAGAAATGTCTGTAAATTTATTAAAAAGAAAAAACTGAACTATCACATTGGCATAAGTATTCAGATCCTTCACTCTGTACTTTGTTTAAGCACCTTTGGCAGCAGTTACAGACTCAAATCTTTTTAATATGACAAGCTTTGCACATCTGGATTGGGAGATTTTCTGCCATTCTTCCCCTCAAGCTCAGTCATGTTGGATGGCGGTAATCAGTGGACAGCCATTTTCAGGTCCCTCCAGAGATGTTCAATAGGGTTCACGTCTGTTGTGTGGCTAAACCATTCTAGAACATTCACAGAGTTATCCCTAAGCCACTCTTGTGTTGTCATGGCTGTGAATTTAGAATTGTTATTATGTTGTTATGAACCTTCAGCCCAGTCTGAACACTATGGAACAGGTTTTCATTGAGAATATTCCTGTACTTTGCTTCATTCAGCTTTCCCTCAACCCTGACCAGTTCCCCAGTCACTGCTGCTGAAAAAATATGCCACAGCATTATTCTGCCACCACCATGCTTTATTGTTGGGATGATATTGGGCAGGTAATAAATGGTGCCTGGTTTCCTCCAGACATAGCATTAGAATTGAGGCCAAACAGTTTAATCTCGGTTTCATTGGACGAGAGAATCTTGTTCCTCACAGTCTGACAGTCTTTCAGTCTTTTTTTTAGCAAACTCCAAGTGGGTTTTCATGTGTTTTGCACTGAGGAGTGCAAAACACTCCTCAGTGCAAAAGCCACTGAGGAGAGGCTTTCATGGCCACTCTGCCATAAAATAAGGTGACCAGACGTCCCATTTTTGGTGGGACAGTCCTGATTTCTAACAATTTGTCCCGTGTCCCATGGCGTTTTTAAAAAGTCCTGATTTTTGGAAATAATGCATGACACAGTCCTCTTCCCCGGCACCCCACTGATTAAAGCACTTTCTTTCGCCCACAGCAGAGCTCGGGTGGGCGAAAGGAAGCGCTTTAGTCAGTGGGGTGCGTGCCGGGAGGAGAGGAGAGATTCCTCCTAGCATGCACCCCACTGAATAAAGTGCTTTCTTTCGCCTGCAGCAGAGCTCAGGCGGGCAAAAGGAAACACTTTAGGCAGTGGGGTGCTTGCCAGGAGGAGAGGAGAGATTCCTCCCAGCACACACCCCACTGATTAAAGCCCAAAGGTACTCCTTGACTTACAACAGTTCATTTAATGACTAATCAATTTACAATAGCACTAAAAAAAGTGACTTAGGACCAGTGGTGAATCCTACAGGTTCACAAATGTGAGCATGCACACGTGCTCACTTTGCTCATATGCACCTTGTCTGTGAATGTGCAGTGCTCATGCATTATGTCGGGGTGGGTAGATGGAGCCTACTGCAGCCGCCGCTACCGGTTTGCCCGAAGCAGAGAGAACCGGCTGAATACTACTCTGCTTATGACTGTTTTTCACAGTTAAGACCTCTGCAGTATCCACATAATCATGTGATCAATATTTTGAAACTTAGCAACTGGCTCATATTTATGACCGCTGCTGTGTCCCAAGGACATGTGAACCCCTTTTGCTAAGGTGACCAGACGTCCCGCTTTTGGCGGGACAGTCCCACTTTTGAACAATTTGTTCCGTGTCCCGCGGCGTTTTTAAAAAGTCATGATTTTTTAAAAATTTTTAATCAAGAACACCCCCCTGGTCAATGGTGTCCCTCTTTAACAATATTAAAATCTGGTCACCTTACCATAAAGCCCAGCTTGGTAGAGGGCTACAGTGATGGTTATACTTTTGGAACTCTGTCTTATCTCCATACAGGATCTCTGGAGCTTAGTCAGAGTGATCATCAGATTCTTGGTCACCTTTCTTACTAAGGCCCTTCTTCCTCACTTGCTCAGTTTGACCAGACAACCAGCTCTTGAAGAGTCTTAGTTGTACCAAATATATGAGAATTATGTTTCAGAATTATGGAGGCCATTGTGTCATAGGAATCTTCAGAGCAGCAGAAATTTTATTGTAGCTTTCCCCAGATCTGTGCCTTGCAATAATCCTGTCCCTGAGCTCTGCAGGCAGTTCCTTTGACATCATTGCTTTTGCTGTGTTTCAATATGCATTGTCAGCTGTGAGGCCTTCAATAGAGATGTGTGCCTTTCCGAATCATTTCCCATCAATTTAATTTACCACAAGTGGAGTCCAATCAAGGTGTAGAATCATGTCAGCAGCAATCAACAGAAATGGTAAGCACCTAAACTAAATTTCAAGTGTTGTTGCAAAGGGTCTGAATACTTATGCCAATGTGATATTTCATTTTTTTTCTTTTTAGTAAATTTACAGACATTTCTAAAAATTTCTTTTCACTTTGTCATTAGATTGATGACAAAAACAACTCTAGAATCAGGGTGCAGCATAACAAAATTGATAAAAGTGAAAAGAGCCTGAACACTTTCTGAATACTCTATAAATGTATTTAGTTACACACTTAATATCATTTAGAATTTAAGTCTTACAGAATTTTCTATTTTGAAGCAGTTTCCATTGAGTTAAATATAAGAAGTAAACATTTACAAGTTATTTACAGGAATCCTAGCATAAAATTTATGATCTTTCAGTATATCATTGGCAATTTCTTAAAACGGAATGTATATGTTTCTGATATATGGAATTAATTGGAGTACTTAGATTCATTTTTCTACTTTTAATACATGCATGAGGTACTAATAAGTTTAAAGTGCATTAAATGCTGCAGCATATTTGTGATTGCCTTCTGTTTTGATACATATTGATCTGGTAAATAGAAATGTCTGCCTAAAGCTATTAGCACTCTAGTACTAAATACTATTATAGCTTTTGAGATGGATGCAAGCTCTTTAGATTGCAGAGGCATTACAAAAGATGAAGTGATGACCTTTCTCCAATGGATACACTGTGTACATTCCAAAAAATATTCATATACCTGATATGAAGGGAAAATTCCAAATAAGTTCAATGCAATAATTCTCTATTGCATTATTCTATTAGAAACCTTTGAAAATGTTTCAACAAAAGTACAATTTTCTGTCGCTTAAAAAAAAGAATGAATGAAAAGAATGAATTTTGTAATGATTTTTTTGTTACAATGTTTATTGTTTACAATAAAATTTTGCTGATTCATTCATTCGTCTGACCTAATATGAAACAAGTCATGTCTTATTAAACATTTCAGCTGGGGACTGTTGAAACTCATCCAAAATCTTGAAGTAGCCATTGGTATTTGAACATTATTACATTTGAAAATGTTACATTGTTGATAGAGAAGATTTGGTAAACTACTTTATTTTTTATTCATATTAATGAATGCTACTTTTTTCCCCCTCTCAAAAGGTTACGGTTTTGTAGATTTTGATAGTCCAGCAGCTGCACAGAAAGCCGTAGCATCTCTTAAAGCAAATGGTGTGCAAGCTCAGATGGCTAAGGTAAGATTAATGTGTGAACATTGCTTAATTGTACTGCTTTACTTTAATATAATGTGATATTAGTTTATAGCAAAAATTTGAGTTATTTTTGTCATTCATTTCAGAATCAATATGTCCAATGAATTTGCCTTATTCATTTATAGATTTATTTTCTTTTCTCCTGTACTGTTTTGTTTATTTCTTGGTTATCATCAGCCTTTATGCATTTATAAATGTTGGATACGTCTCCCTTTTTTATTACATTTAATTTTATTGTGCAAAGAACAAAAATACAGTACTATAAAGCATTTGTGCCAAAGCTTCTTGAGCCAGTCCAGATTTTTCTTCCTTCATTAAATATGAAATATAAATATTGGCAAGAAGAAAAGAATTGCATCCCAAAGGTACTTTCTGGTTCAATGGCTTCTTGAAAAAGCACCTTTGGGATAACCATGACCTGGAGGATTGAGAATTTTGTAAGAAACATCTAGGTTGGATATGAGATGAAATGGTCCCAGGATTTCAGATATTAAGGAAGATTTTACTTCATGGATAGCTGGTGGAAATAGTTGCTGGAAATATGTAAGCTATAACAAGGTGGCCCATATTTAGGATAAGTACCCAAAAGTCAACATCTATTGACAGTATTCTACCTTCGATAACATGCTTTACAGATTTGCAGGCCTGGAGCTCATCCCTTGTAACATAGAAAATGTTTGTTTGAATATAATAATGAAGATTTAAATTGCCTGGTGTTATGCATACCTAGAAGTTTGCTGTTATGAAACACTTGTAGACTCCATTGCTATTTTTTTTTTAAATGATCCAGTTCAAATGACATTTTATTGTATGATATTGGGATCACAATAAAAAAGGAAAATGAGATATTATGCATTATCTCATGTAATGTTTTTAATAGTGTGCATTTGATTAATAACAAATATTCTTGTTACTAATCAAATGCACACTAATCAAGTACTAAGGATTCTTTTATTCTGTATGTGCTCTGCACATATAAGTCTAAGATGTTAGGGATTTTACTAACGGTTATGAATGTCTTAATTCATAATACCATGTGTGTGATATGGTGCCAACCAAGGTAGGCATCTCAAGGCAAAAGCATGAAATATTGATTCAGTTTAGAAGTTCCATAGTTTCTTCACCTGAGAAACTCATGTTACATATTTTCAATATTAATTAAATCTCAAAAGATCACTGTGTATCTACATTTCAATAATAGGAATGGAAAATGGAGAATGAAAAAGGATTTGAGTTAAGGTTGTATAGGAATACACATGGGCATGACTAAGTTGATGAGTTCTGGCTGTTCATCATTTCTAACTGAAACTAATAAGACAGACATGGGAATGTCATTTAGACATGGGAATGTCATTTGTCCTTTATGTGTTGCTGAATTGCAATTGTCAATATACATTAAACTGTACCATTCAGAGGGAGAGGGCCAATGAAGCAAGTGATATTGAATAGCATCATGCAAATAGCACATATGCAGTATATTTTATTTGTGAGTTGATATTATGATTTCATCATCAGCTTTATGTCTTCTTGAGTATCTTTGAGTAGATGACAATTGATGATGAATTTTCTTCAGACTTCTGAAGATGGTTCTATTAGTTATTGCTCTTTGTCTATTTAACTACTCTTTCCCCTCCTATCAAACTATTTCTATTTATGTTACCTCCTTTGGCTGAGACAATGGCAGATGGACATGAGGCACAAGTGGAGATTGACTACTGAACCATACAAAGGGAGGAGCTTGTTTGGGGATACCCTCATACCTTTACTGGAGGAAGGGAAAGATAAACGTAAGGCTCTGCCATCAAATGTTAAGAAGGGTTTCTCCCATCCCGGCCCCTACCCTAGGAGATAACCGTATAGGCAGCAGGACTATAGTTCCTTCCAAAGCTATGACTATAACCCTACAGGCCTTCGTGCACAGACCACCTTTGGCCAATGTCAGATGCCTTATAGACAGCAGAGGGGCACTTAGGGCAAGCTTTCGGGTGAACTGATACAATCGTAAGCAGTGAGCAGTCAGAGGATTGGTTCCCCATCAGAGCACGTTTACTCCGCTTTGCCAACCAGTGGGACGCCACCACTTCAGATGGCTGGGTTAGGGCCACGGTTAGGGTTGGTTTGGCCCTGGAGTTCATCTCCTCATCCCCCCCCCAAGTTTTTCATCTGCTCCCCCATTTCTCGTAACCCACAAAAGCAGCTCCTGATGCGCACGGCTATCTAACACCTTCTGGATATTGAGGCCATCCAGTAGGTGCCAGAGGGCCACTGCCATCAGGGGTTCTACTCCATCCTCTTCATCATCCCCAAGTCCTTGGGAGGATGGAGGTTTATTTGGGATGTAAAAAGGTTAAATCATTATTTACAATTTAAAAAGTTTAAGATGCATTCATTGGAGACCATTTTGGAATGTTTAAGGTGGGGGGGGATTTCCTTACCTCAGTGGATTTAATGGAGGTGTACTTACACATACCCATCCTCCATGACCATTGTCAGTATTTGCGTTTTTGTTATGCCAATGTTCATTACCAATATAGGGTTTTGTCCTTTGGCCCTCAGCTCCTCATGCATTTACTAAAATCCTGGCAGCCTTTGCTGCACATTTGAGAAGCATACCAGTCCGAGTACATTGCTACCTGGATGATATCTTGGTACAATCTACCTCGACAGAGAGAGAGCCGATACAAATCTTACAATCACAATTCGAGCTCTGAAGTCACATGGGTTTTCCATAAATATTCCAAAGAGTCACTTTACACTCAGAACCAGGACCCTGCACCTGGGGGCTTGGATTGACACTCAGGCAGAACAGGTATTCCTCTCTGAGGAGCGTTAGGATAGTCTCCAAACACAGGTGTTGGATGTCAGCGGGGTTGCACTGGCTATGCTATCAAAACTTCTAGGGAAGATGGTATCCACCATTGCTATTATGTCCTGGGCCAGGTTATATTACAGGTAGCTTCAATGGTTCCTTCTGCCTTTTCAGAAACATATAACAAGCACGTCCTTATCAAAGGTGCCCCTACAGAGAGAGGTCCAAAATTCCCTCCGCTGGTGGAGGTCCCCAGCCATAGAACAGAGGACTACCTGGGCTGCTGAGTGTCAAATGAGGGAATAGAAATGGACCCAGCCAGAGTACAAATCTCCTAGGCTGGCAACCTCCTCGCAACCTTCAGACAGCTACAAAGCTTCCTAGAGTTTGCGAACTTCTATAGGCAATTCATCCCCTCCTTCACGAAGATTGTCAAAACCATGACAGATCTCTTAAAGACAGAGAGCCGAGGAACAAAATTTCACCCGGGACTTAACCTGCCAAAAGGCATTTGAAACACTAAAACAAATATTTGCAAAGGAACCAGTGCTAAATCATCATGATCCCAAGTAACCATTCGTGATCCAAGCAGATGCCAGTGACATGGCAGTGGGAGAGGTGCTACACCAAGAAACAACCAAGGAAACTTACAACCAACGCATACACCTCCCACAAGCTCACAGACACAGAGAGGTGATGGGCCGCATGGGAAAAGGAGGCTTTTGCTGTGAGATGGACACTGCTAACGTGGAGACACCTGTTGGAAGTGGGCCAGAAACTGTTTGAAGTTGGACTGACCACAAAAATCTGGAGGCTTTCAGGACTCATGGAAACAATCACCCAAACAAATCTGATGGGTTTCGACTTCATACTAAAATACATTCCAGGGGTGAGAAGTTTTCTAGTTGATGCCCTCTCCCGCAGACCCCAGTAGAAATGCGAACGGAAGCTGCTGGTCGATGCCATCATTTCCTCTCCCCAAATAGTTGTCCAAGTGACCACCAGACGACAATGCTGTGACTGGCAAGATCAACCAGCAAGTGATCTAACCCCGAGACTCAAAACCGAACTGCTAGCAGACCCTGGTTCCAAAACAACCAACACATGTTGACAAAAAGAGATGACCTCACATGGAAGGGGACAAAACTCTACATCCCGGAATCCCCATGCACCCTAATTTTTCAGAGGAGCCATGACGCCAAACTGGCAGGCCACTTTGGATTCCTAAAGAGTTTACGCTTAGCCCGGAGGCAGTTCTGGTGGCCTGGCATAAAGAAAGATGTGGACAGCTACCTGAAATGTTGCACCATCTGCACCACAATGAAGAGATGACCGGGAAAACTCCCCGGACTGCTGCAACCAGTAGCAGATCCAAAGAGGCCGTGGGAGGAGATCACAATGGACTTTATAGTAGAGTTGCTGAAAAGTGGGGGAAACACGGTGATTTGGACTGTAATAGACCTGTTTTCCAAACAGGCACACTTCCTACCCTGCAGCGGACTACCCTCACCTCACAAGCTGGCCAAACTATTCCTGAAGCACATCTACTGCCTGCATGGAGTACCTCAAAGAATTATCTCAGACAGAGGTGTCCAGTTCACAGATGAGTTCTGGAGAGAGTTCCTGTGGTCCGTTGGGTCATCCCAGGGTCTTAGCTTGGCTTTTCACCTGAGCACCAATGGGGAGGCAGAGAGACTGAATGCCATGGTAGCACTTGAGGTACTACATGAACTATCAGCAGTCCAATTGCGCAGACCTTCTGTCTTTTGCTGAGGTCATGTACAATAATGCTGTTCACAGTAGCACAGGACTATCACCAGTCAAAGTAGTGAACGGCATGGACTTTGTCCAGAGGTGAGTTCCTACCAGTTCGCACCTATTCGGTAGAACCGGTTCATCAAATCTACCGGACCGGTTAGAAGAGGTTCCACCAGTGGACCTGGAAAACAGGCCACACCTATAGAAGAGGTTCCAAAATCTTTTGAAACCCACCACTGACTTTGTCCCAATGCCTGAGTATCCCAGGGATCCCCCCTCCTCAGTCAGCTTGACTGATTGGATGTCAATGCTAAAAGCAACCTGGGAGAATATTGCACAGGTTGCTTTTTGAAAGTGAGGGAAGCAAAATGTCAACTCCCAGTATTGTCATGGGGAAAGGAGGGGGAGAGCATTC